ATGCTTGTCATGCAGGCATAGAGTCGTATCTTCTTCATGCTAATTGATACTTTGTATCTTAAAATTGATGCCTTAACTGATTTTTTTGGAAAACATGCCTATTTTCCTGTTAATATGATCAAGTTGAACTTGCTATTCTTGAGCTGCTTTTCTGTTTGCTATTATCATTATGATGTTATTGTTATTGTCGGATGATTGGAAGTGAGTAGAGGATTTTGCCAATGTCATCACTATCTTCAATATGATGTTAGGCTTGCTACTTACAGAGTTCACGGGGTCGGTTGTACTTATACTAAACTCTGCACTTTATGTGTAGATCCAGGTACTGCTGATAACGTTGATTACTTGAGGGCGTACCAGTACCTGTTGGAGATTTCAATGTAGCTATGTTGTGCTGTTCGCAGGGCCTGGTTTCCCTTTCGTTACTTGTGTCATTACTATTTATGTACATCAGATAGTATTGTATCATTATTCAGACCATTGTACTTATTTATTCTATAAAGCTCATGAACTCGTTGACGCCAGGTTCTGGGATAGTATTTCAGATGTATAGCTATTTGGCTACATTTATTTATATTATTCCACTTTGAGACTATTTGTTATTGTTATTGAAGTTTATTTCTGTATATTGAATGTTGGCTTACCTAGTAAGCAGTGTTAAGCGCCATCACGTCCTCGGTGGTATTTGGGGTTGTGATACATAATTCGCTTATGCACATTTTGTATAGGTTCTGAGGTTGGTATTGGTGGTGTACATCCGACTAAGTAGGAGATATAGAGGAGACTTCATGGTGAGCTTATTTTCTTAACCGATCTGCAACACATGGAGTCCCCCACTTTACTTATCTATTTAGTCTATCTATTTCTTATCAGATAGACATTGTTATTCAGTTTATACCCTCTTACTCTTGTTAGATGCTTGTGATAGTTGTGACACCCAATTTTGGGAGAGTTTGTGAGACAATTACGGTCTTGTTTAGACCCTATCTGAGGTTCATGTATTTTTGATATTGAGTCGTGACTTATTCCGCTTCGTTAATTTTATCCCTAATCAGGTAATGACTTAATAATTGAATTCTGTTACTGATGTGAGTGTTGGGTTGCCTAGCAAGCGAGTTAGGTGCTATCACATCCTTTGATGGGATTTTGGGTTTTGACAAGTTAGTATCAGAGCTCTAGGTCTAAGGGTCTCACAAGTCATGAGCAAGACTAGCAGTCTCTTCTGGACCTATAAAGAGACGTCAGTATGTATCAGTGAGAGGCTATAAGACTTTGGGAAAACTTCCCTTTTTTAATTCCTTCATGCGTTGATTATTATCTGAGTCCAAATTCTCGCTTCTAGTCTCTCACAAATGGTTAGAACACGCACTTCAGCAGCGATAATAGGTACTGGAAAATCAGCACCACCAGTTGTAGCCAGGAGAGGTAAGGCCCAAGGTAGGGCCAAGGCTCCAGCTAGGTACCGCATTGTCACAACTAGAGGTGGAGCATCCACCATAGCCTATAACCATGCTAGGGCAGTTTCGACGTATCCACCGGGGGAATTCTGTAGAGGATGAGATCATGGATGAGTATATTGAGGCTCCGGTGCATGCCCAAAAATCAGAGGGTTTCGTTACTACACTAGTTATCCAGGATGTCATGGCTATGATGGTCTGATTTATAGATGCATTGACCTAGGATGGAGTGGTTCCAGTGGCCCCAACCACATCTCAGGCTAGAGGGGGAGCTCAGACCTCTATTAGTCATACTCCAGAGCAGCGTATTGTAGCAACTAGACTTGTGGTTGAACCTGCTATGTCTACTGAGGAGCATAAGAGGCTTGAGAGGTTCCAGAAGTTACATCCTCCTCACTTTGAATGTAATGCTTCAGAAGATGCCCATGATTTTCTTGATCGGTGTTATCAGATGCTTCACAATTTGTGCTGGTAGAGTCCAATGGAGTGGATTTCACTACTTTTCAGCTGCGGGGAGCCGCTAGGAGATAATGGTAGACTTATGAGCTAGGCAGGCTAGCTGGTTCATCTCCTCTCACATGGACTCAGATTTCGCATTTATTTCTTGAGAGGTACATCCCATTCACAAGGAGGGATGAGTTGAGAGGTGAGTTCAAGCATCTTTCGCAGGATCGTACGTCAGTGCTAAGTATGAGGCGAGATTCATAGAGTTTTATCCTAATGCAACTTTCTTAATCCCCACCAAGGCAGACAAGGTGGGGCAGTTTATTGAAGGTTTGACCTTTGGCATCAAGGTTACTAAGGTTTGAGAGCCAGTGATGAGGACTACATTCCATCAGGCCATAGAGATAGCTCGAAGGATCGATCATATTTGAAGCGAGGGGAGAGATGTCATGATGAGGGACAAGAGGTCTCATCGTTCTGGCAGTTTCAGCGGTACCTCATCTAGAGGTAGAGGTCCGTTCAGTAGAGGCGACCATGGTAGGCTAGCTCATTTCACACAGCATGGAGCCCGTGGTGCTATGGCTCGATCATCTTTTAACACTCTAGTTCCGTCATCCTTTAGCACTATCCAGCAAGCTCATTTTGTGCTTCGTTTGCTCAGGGTTTCTCCAGTATGTATTTAGGTCCTCATGTGTAGTATCAATCTGAACAACATCTTTCGGTTAGGGCTTGTTATAAGTTTTGAGAGTTCAGTCATGTGAGAAAGTATTGCCCCAGGCTTTATCAAGGCACAACTTATCAAAGTTCCAAATTAGTGGTTCCCGCACCAGACGTATCATTCGCTGCCTAGTCAGCTAGATGGGAGGGCACGCGGCGAGACGTCACCTTAGAGGGGGAGGTCAGGTTGGTGGAGGTTCGACCAGTGGCAACCCCTTTAGGATGGTGCTACTTACGAAACAAAGCTAAATTACTACTTACAACATTTAGAAGATATTAATTTAAAAAGGTATTCATAACAATTTAGTAGCGGAAATACGCCCATGTGATAAAGGTTTCAAGGTGCAATATTTTTGTTTTTTTTTGAAAATACACTTCGCAATTTTTTTAAAATGAAATACAATGTCAAAGTATCAAGATAATGTGATACAACCCTAAATAGCAAAACAAGTCACCAAATTCAAGTTACAAGGTTATGGTTTTGAGATCCAACAAGCCTCCAAAATTACATACATAAGTGTGACATATATCATGTAAAAGTCCCAAAACTATACAAAACCTAGGTGCATATGCAAATGTGATCTCCACAAAAGCTCCTGAAAAGTCTATTCCAAAAGGCCTTCTTCAAATCTCTTCTCGCACATTACCGACGATAGAAAACAACTATCGCTAAGCATAAAGTTTAGTGGTGTATAAGCATTATGGTTGGAGCTATTAAATTCTCCAATTCCCCTATTCAGTCATAGGTAGCTCAAATGAAGCATACATTTAAAGCAAGTAAACAAATATATCAAAAGTATCGAATATCAAACTTTGAAGTGTTTCCAAATATCAATAACAATATTCAAGATTAAAGTATCAAGAAAGCGTATACTATCAATCCAAAAAAGTTTGCCAAATATCTATTTTTCGCCCAATATGTAGGTCATGCCATCACACTAAGCATAATCAGATATCAAGAAGGACCGAAGCCCCAAATCAAGTAGGGTCGAAACCCAATAGTCAAGAGAATCAAGAACTATATTAAAAGTGGCTTCCTAGTTCGTACTTAACACGAACAAGTTCCATAATTTAGACGAACTACAAATCCAAAGTCAAAATGACAAAAGATCCGAATCAAGAGGCATGCCAATATAAGTGACAAAGCCACTGCCACAAGAAGGACAAAGTCCAAATAAGGATGCAAAATGATCAAGCAATCCGTACAAGTGGGTGAGTTAGCGAATATCTTGCAATACTTGATATAACGCAAATACAATGATAAAAATTGAAGCAAGGGAAACAAAAGCTCAAGTTATTTCAATACATTCCAGCAAGTAAAAAGAGTACAACTTCAATTTTATACACAAACCTTGGTGTTATACCACAAAACAATTCAACCACAACTTGAGGACGTTCGAATCATCTACACCATAGACCAACCAAATCTGTCCACTTCCTAAAACACTTTTCTTTAGATTTTACAAAGGTATATATACATTAAATACATAATCAAATATCTATATGAGTTCAATGATTTCAACATGTCGAACTAAACATGATATTGGTGAAAATCACCTTAAATTTTTGAATTCTGGACAGTAACACTGCCTTGTGTTGTCAATCAGGTTTCGTACAACAAGTTATGCTCAAAATACTAATAGTAGGACACGGAGGGTTTGTAAATTTGAAAATCTGGGCAGCACCTGCCCTGTACTGTAGCACCCCGTTATGGGTAAATACAAGAAGCACTAGGTTTTGGAGCCTGAACAAGAGTTATAGAGCTATGAAATAACTTTCCATAAAAGTTTGGCTCACTTAAAAGGAGTTTTATACAAAGAGAACTAAAACTACTAACAGTATTCCAGTTAAACAACGGGTTTCGGAAACTTACCTCAAAGGTGATAAGTAGCTTGTGGCTCAACCAAGACAAGTCTTGTTGGTGACTTAGTGGGAGAAATTTATGAGAGGAGTTTTTGAGGGGTTATTTTTCTAGAGGAAACAAAATTAGAGGAGGTCCTTAAAGATATCTCACAAGGATGATAGTATATATCGCATTGGATAAGGATGAATAAAAGGTGACTGCCCAAATATTTTCTTCTTTGGATTAATACAAAAAGGATGGCTGCCAAAGAATTAAATATCGAATGTATTTCATAACAATTCATCAAAATGATAATAAGTATTACACACAGCAACATCATGGAACTTCTTTGTCAATATTAACACAATCTGGAGTAAGCAACTTTTTTATATCGTCAAATTCACGTTTAGGAAGTGCGAAGTAAAATCTATTCTTATTATAAAGATGCTCAATCGATAATACAAATATTAGTCTAAAACACTTGGGGTGTTACAACTCTCTCCCCTCTAAATAAATTTCGTCCCAAAATTTACCTTATACTAATCTCGAAACAAATGTGGATATCGAACTCGCATATCCTCTTCTCGCTCCCAAGTAGCTTCCTTGCCAGGATGCTTTCTCCAAAGGAATTTGACTAAAGGGAGTTTCTTATTTCTAAGCTCTTTTAACTCACGCGCTAAGATTTGGATTGGTTCTTCTTCATATGTCAAATCAGGATTGACCTCAATATACTCAACAGGAAGAACATGAGATGGATCTGAGCGGTATCTTCTAAGTATAGAAACATGAAATACTTTATGGATCTTTTCTAACTTAGGTGGAAGAGCTAGTTTATAAGAAATAGGGCCAACTCTCTCAAGCACTTCATAAGGTCCAATAAATCGAGGACTAAGTTTACTTTTTTGGGCCAAATCTCATATTCATCTTCCATGGAGAAACCTTTAAAAATGCTTTATCACTCGCTTTATACTCAATTTCACGCCTCTCAAGATCATCATGACTTTTGTCTATCTGAAGCAATTTTTAAGCGTTCCTTGATGATTTTTACCTTATCTTCAGTTTGTTGAACAATTTCAGGACCCACCAATTTTCTTTCACAAACCTCGTTCCAACAAAGAGGCGTTCTACATTTTCTCCCATATAAATCTTCATAAGGAGGTATGCCTATACTTCATTGGTAGCTATTATTGTAAGCAAATTCTATCAAGGCTAAGTGTTTGTCCCAACTATCTTAAAACTCAATAATACAAGCTCGAAGCATATCTTCCAAGATTTGTATTACCCTCTCGGACTGGCCGTCTGTATGAGAATGGAAAGAAGTACTAAAGTTCAATCTGGTGCCCATAGCTTCTTGCAAACTACTCCAAAATCTTGAGGTAAACATTGGGTCTCGGTCAGATACAATAGAAATAGGAATCCGATGCAGCCTCACAATCTCATTAACGTATAATTTTGCTAAACGTTCAAGTGTGTAGTCCATTCTAATTTCCACGAAATGACCACTCTTGGTTAGTCTATCAATTATAACCCAAATTGCATCATGATTTCTTTGAGTGCGTGAAAGCCCAGAAACAAAGTCCATCGTTATTCTCTCTCATTTCCACTCCGGTATGGACAAGGGTTGTAGCAAACCAGCTAGAACTTGATGCTTGGCCTTTATTTGTTGACAAATCAAGCATTTAGAGATAGACTTTGCAATGTCTTTCTTCATACCATTCCACTAGTAGTGTTCTTTGATGGTTTGGTACAATTTAGTGCCTCTAGGATGCATTGCATATGGTAAAGTGTGTGCTTCGCTCAAAATTTCTTTCCTCAATTTGTCATCTTTAGGAACACATGACCTATTTTGATAAAATAGGACACAATCTTCCCTCAATTTAAAATCAAGTTTTTCTCCATTTTGAACTTCTTTGATCAGTTTCACAAACTTCTCATCCAACTTGTGCTTCTTTTATCTGTTCAAGTAGAATTGGCTTGACTTGGAAACTAGCAATAATAGAACCATCAACTTTAAATGCAATACAAGCATTCGTGGCTCTCAATTCAAGATACAAAGGCAAAGGACTTAGAGATAACATGCAAAGGATTTGCGACATAGAGCATCAACAACAACATTGGCTTTACCTGGAGGATAGTCAATTATGCAGTCATAATCTTTGATAAGCTCAAGCCATCTACGCTGTCTCAAATTCAACTCTTTCTGTGTACCCAAGTATTTCAAACTCTTATGATCAGTGAATATATGACACTTTTCTCCGTACAAGTAATGTCTCCAAATTTTCAAAGCGAACACTATGGGAGCAAGCTCAAGGTCGTGAGTAGGATAATTCAACTCATGTTATTTCAATTTTTGAGAGGCATACACAACCACCCTTCTTGCATCAAAACACAACCAAAACCATGATGAGAGGCATCACTATATATCACATACTCTTTCCCTTCAGTTGGTAGAGTAAGTATAAGAGCTTTAGTCAATAAAGATTTGAGCTTTTCAAAGATATCTTGGAATTTGTCATCCCACACGAGCTTGACGTTCTTCCTCAAACGTTTAGTCAAATGAGAGGCTATAATGGAGAAGCCTTTGACAAACCTTCTATAGTATCCCGCTAAGCCCAAGAAATTTCCTATTTCAGTTGGACTTTTGGGTGGTTTCCAATCAACAAGAGCTTGAATCTTACTAGGATCAACTTTCACACCTTCAACTGACACAACATACCCCAGGAAAGCCACTTCACTAAGCCAAAATTCATAATTGGAAAGCTTGGCATCGAGCTTTTTCTCCTCCAAAATTTGCAAAATAATCCGGAGATGTTTATCAAGATCTTCACTATTCTTGGAATATATTAAAATATCATCAATAAATACCACCACAAATTGATTAATATAAGGCTTGAAAATACGATTCATTAGATCCATGAATACTGCAGGAGCATTTGTCAACCCAAATGGCATCACCGAAAATTCATAATGACCATACAGAGTCCTGAAAGCAGTTTTAGGAACATCTTGCTCACTTACTCCCACTTGGTAATACCTAGACCTCAAGTCAATTTATGAGAACAACTGAGCACCTTTAGCTGGTCAAATAAATCATTGATCCTAGGCAATGGATATCTATTCTTAATTGTTACCTTATTCAATTACTGGTAATCAATACAAAGCCGAAGAGTGCCATTTTTCTTTTTCACAAATAAAATAGGAGCTCCCTAAGGAGAAACACTTAGGCGAATAAAATCCTTCTCAAGAAGTTCTTGCAATTGAATTTTCAAGTCCTTCAATTTCGCTGGAGCCATTCGGTAAGGAGTTATAAAAATAGGAGTAGTTCTAGGAATAAATCTCTATAGGAAATTCAACTTCCCTTTCCGGGGGCAACCCAGGAAGATTTTCAGAGAAAACATCAAGAAATTCACATACGACTGGTATATCTATAAGGCTTGGACTTTCTAGGAGTATATAAACTATATGGGTAAGATAAGCTTCACAACCCTGACTAGTCATCTTTCTTGCCACAACTGCAAATATAATATTAGATGTTAGTGATCTTTCACCTTGAATAACAAAGTGTGAAAATGTAGGAGCTTTAAAGGTCACACATTTTGACCTACAATCAACTACTTCATGATATCTGTGAAGCCAATCCATACCGATGATGACATCATAGTCTTGGAAAGGCATTTCAATCAAATAAGCAGGGAAGACTAGATTTTGAATCACGAAGGGACAACCTCGATAGATCTGATTACAAACAACCTGATGACCCAAAGGACTTTTGACAAGCACACCATAATCAAGTCTCACAGATTTCACATTTTCAGGAAAAACAAGCGATGAGTAAACATAGGAATGTGTAGAAGCTGGATCAAATAGTGTAACAACACATAAGCCAAATAAGTGAAATTTAACAACAACTACGTCTGCCCCATCTTGGTCATCCCTCTGTCTCATAGCATAAGCTCGTGCTGTAGCTCTTGACCCACTAGCTTGATTAGTTCCACCTGCACTTGTTGTTTGGGTATTTCTAGATCTTGCACCTCTATTCCCTTGAGAAGGAGTGGCAGTAGGTTTCTAAATTGAACTTTCAGTACGTGGAGAAGAAATAGGTTTAGGGTTAGGATAATCCTTCACTTTGTGATTGAAGCTCCCACAATTAAAACAAGCACCAGAAGCTTTCCTGCAAGTACCAAAGTAATTCTTTCCACACTTTGCACAAGTGGGTATACGAGTCTTGCCTTGTCCATAGCTTGGAGTGCTAGCAGAAGAAAAAAATGATCTATTTTTACTTCCCCATTTTGGAGGGACTACCATAATCTGAATTAGCTTTTCGAAACCTGTTTTCATTTCTACTAGCTTGTTCCTTGTCAATTCTTTCCCAAGTAAGAGCAGCTATAACTAGTTTGGAAACCTTTTCATGTTGCAGGACCGCCACAGACATTCGGATAGAATCATTCAAACCATCTTCGAATTGCCTGCACTTATCTTTTTCATCATCAATAATACCTCCAGCATAACGAGAAAGCCTGAGAAATGTTTGTTGAAATTCAGCAATAGACATACTGATGAATGGTGATTTTACCATTTATTTTAGTCTCTTTTCTTTAGTTTTTTAATTATAATATGAGGTTATTTATGGCGTGTATTGCTAGATTTTCAGGTAAATGATGTCATGAAGAGAGTTGAAGTCAATTGAAGTGGAATTGAGCGAAAAAAGAGTTAAAGAAATATAGAATCCTTCAGTGATTTCGCCTCTGCGAAACACTGTTCGCTTCTGCAAGCTCGCCTTTGCGAGTAGAGGGCCGCTTCTATGGGAATTAGACACCTTCCACTTGGATCACATTTGCAATCGATAATCCTCATATGCGGAGTCGCTTCTGCGGCAGCATGTTCCGCATCTCCGGAAAAGGCAATTACCCACAGGTTTCGCATCTACGAATGAAAGTCCTCTTTTGCGGAGTCGCACCTGCGATGATTTATTCCGCAGGTGCGTTCAACATGCTCCAACTCAGGACATACATGAAAATTCACATTTTCTTCATTCCAAACCCACAAATACACAACCTAGCATATTGGAAATGGATCTTTAGCCGATCTCTGGACATCTTTGACATCTTTTGGCTAGAGAACACAAGTTTTAGAGCCAGGGTTCTTGCACACACACTTGGGTACTGAAGATTTGAAGTTTTTGGTTGAGAATTCCTTACCCATTTATATTCATTTTTTCATTTCCTTGCTTTGTATTGAATATCTAAGTGTGTAGTATTTTTTCCAACACTTGAATCTTGTTTATGGGAATATTCATATTTAAAGTGTGGATTAAATATCTTGTTATGCTTTTGTATTGAACGATTTTTATTTATTATAAAGTGAGTTAGTGTTTCTTTAGTTAGTCTTGTTCTTTAACGTTTCCAAAGGGATTAGCTAACCCTAGGACTAGCCCATTAACTTCGAATTGATTTTGGAAAAGATAATTTGGGGTTGGGAAAGATTAATTAACAAGAACTTAAGGGGTTAACCCTCACTTTATAGATTCTACCTAGGGATAGGATTGAACTACTTATAGCCATATTCGGGTGTGCTTAATCTTTCAATTGGTTTGGGGATAATTCACTTAGGAAGTCTTGTTAGTCTTTAGAAGAAGCTAATATAGAATTATTACCCGAGGCTAATTAACATAAACTCGCTCATATTTGTAAAATCGTAAAATACATTGGATCGTTACTTGAGTGTAATTCCCATTGTATCCATATTTGTAGCCATTGATCACTTTATTTGATTTCTAGGTTAGTTTACATTTTCGCATTTAGACATAAATATTTTCTCAAAACCCTTTTAAGTGTTTGGCTTAGCATAATACGTGATAATTCTCTTACACGCCTAATCGCCTACATAAGCTTCTCTGTGGGATTCGACCCCGAATCATAGTTGGGTAAATTATATTGCATGCGACCAAGTCCATTTACTTTTTAGTAGTGGATTTGGACGTCATCAAAATTGGCGCCATTGCCGGGGAACAATTTGGCGTATTTAGGTTGTTTGAGAAATAAGCGTACGTGCTTTGGTCCAAACTTGTGAATATTTTTGTAAATATTTTTCTTATCTTTGTTTATTTTTCTTGATGTTTTCTTGTTAATTTTCTTAGTTTTTGAAAAATGGCATCACGTAATGAAAATTGGTCGGATGGTAGTTGTTCATACTTTGATGACCCTTGTCCTTATTGTGGAGGACCACACTCATGGGAAAAATGTTTAAATTCTCCCGGGGGCGGATTGTGCGCATAATCTCAAATCCATGAGTTTAGTATATGTGATAAGTGTGGTGGTCAAAATGGCCATTGAGATAATTGTTCTTATTTGTCCTTCCCTTCCCCGAACCCCCTCTATGATGATTCTACTTTTTGTGATGAGAATTATAGGGATATGGAAGTGGATGAAAGTGAGAATGGTAAAAAAGGAGAGTTCAAGCTCATGATGGAATGCCTACTTGAAGGAGGAAACAAAGAGCGAAATGCCTTGGAGGAGATTTTGAAAAATAGTCTCCAAAATAATTTGGCGCTTGCAAGGTTGAACTCACAAATGGGAGAAATGCTTGAAGCTTTAGAGGTTCAAAAAGCCTCGGAAGTGAATGATAGCCAAGAACCTTCCTTAGAGGTTGAAGTCGAAAATCCTTCTTTGGCACTTGATCAAAGCCAAGTAGAACTCTCAAATGCTCAAAATGAGAGGATGGTGTTCATGTTGGAGACCATTCTTGAATATGAGGAGAAGCACAAGTTGGCACTCGAGGACTTGAAACAAATACTAACTCAAAATGATGAGAATATACGCACCTTGGAAAATCAAATGAAAATATTGGTTGAGGCTCATTATGCCCACCAACTTGAAAGTGTGGAAAGCGGTCAAGAAGAGTCCAACTTTGAGGAAGAAAGTGAGCTTTGTTTTGAGGAATCAAGAATTGAACTTCTGCCAACCGACTCCATGCTGTTGATGATGCCAGGAAAAATATGGAATTAGATTCAACCGATGTAGTTGAAAAGATGGTTGAAAATGACTCTAGTTCGGGGGAAAATGAGGATGTTAAAATCCGAAAAAATTTGCAAGTTGGGAGTTTGATATCTCATTCCAAGCACTTTTCAACTTTAGAAGTGTGTGGTGATATGGGAACTGAACTACACGAGTCAATGAGGGATTGCGAAGAGGAGAGACAAGGGCCATACATCTTTCAATTTGAAGGTACAAGAAGGCAAAAAGACATTCCTCACATGAAAGCCAAGAAATGCAAAATGAAGCAAATGGCATTTGGCTTGATCATCTACTTACCACCCCCCATCGCTCGTGGTCACAAGCTTGATTCCAAGTTAGGTGCCCAATTCATATCTTCCAAGTGGCGAGAAAAGTAGTAAAGTTGACTCGCGTCGTGCCACGATGTTAAATGCGGCGCTTGGTGGGAGGCAACCCATCGTTTTTCAAATTTTGAGTTCATGTTTGAAATTTTCTTTTTTAGAATAGCTTAGTATATTATTTTTGACTAATCTACCAAGTTTTAGATTTTTTGGAGTTAAATTGAGGAGTTTGATGTGTTGGAACAAGTCAAAACAGTGGCTGCCCATCAGAATTCTAGTTCAACCACACCTGCGATAACATTTGCGCAGACGCGGCTTCGTAGAAGCGCTCAAGACATCGTAGATGCAAAAGCATCATAGAAGCGATCTTTTCTTCGCAGAAGCGCTTTATCTTCCGCATAAGTGATCCTTCGGGTAAATTTTAAAGCCCTTCATCTGGTACTTTGAGCTGAAAATGGACCCAAACATGAACGAAAATACGACGCTTGATCATGAAATTTAAGAAGTGGCTGAGGATTTGAACTATGATACCAACAGATTCATGTCTTCCGAGTGCCAAATTTGGTATTATGATGATCTCTTCACGAAGAAGTTCAAACTTGAGAAAGAAATTGCCGATGACAAAGTGTCCGAGCTTCTTCCGAATTTCCATGGCCGGCTAGTTTCAAGCGGCTATACCTGCTTCATCCCCACTCTATGCAAGTCCAATGAGGAATGGGTGCTGGAATTTTATGCCAACTTAAAACGTGCACATTTCCAAAATCATGAACTTACAATAAGGGGAAAGATTGTGAAATTTGGAGTTGAAGAGATAAATGATGTCTATGGGCTTCAAAATCATCCGCTTGAGCCAATGCGAGAAAGAGATACATGCGACAATGGTGATTGGCTAGTCTCAAAGCTTTGTCCTACAGTCCAAACAGTGACTTGGGCTAAAAAGAAAAAAAGGCATCAAATGTGGTGATTTCATAGCTGAAGCAAAAATATGGTTGTATATCATTGCGAGCAGAGTGTCTCCTTGTGGGAACGTGTATGATATCCCATATACTAGGGCCCTGATAATTGCTTGCATCCTTGATGGCATTCCAGTGAATGTTGATCATTACATCGTTCAGGAGCTGAAGGAGTATGTGCTTCAATGTGGATCGAAATTGATATTTCTATCATTGATTACAGAGTTGTGCCGGCGTGCACATGTTGATGTATGGGATGGAGATAATTGGATACCGACGGACAAACCCTTTCACCCATTGAGAGTGACAGGAGAAGGCAGTGTGCTAAAGAGTAAGAATAGGAAGATGGTGATTACTGTAGGTGAGGGGTCCTCCTCACAAGCTACTCAGGCCGAGGGACCATTTGGGATGCTAAATTCCCAGCTTACCTCCATTCGTGATTTAGTGTCACAAATCCCTAGTGGTCCCTCACACTCCCAGCCTATGCCCGAGTATTTTATTAGGGATGAAATGAAAACCTACCTGGAGAATCAGAAAAAGCAAGCAGAGTCGCATGAGAAGTTGGAAGCTTCTATTAGCAGGCTCGAGGAAGCCTATGACAATATGGCCAAGGCACATGTATATCTTCAGGCAGACTTCAACAAGGAGAAAGAGATAAATAAGAAGAAGGGAAAGTTCATGATAAAGATGTGGAGAGGCATCAAGGCCATCTTCAAATGGGGGCAGCCGAACAGGAAGATACCGGTCGAGGACCAAGACGATAGTGAAGAGTATTCATTCTTGTGAAATGATGCTGATGCTGATATTGATGATACCAATGATGATGAGGCCGAGAGCTCCACACGGCAGTGATTAGCCTTTTTCCGCAATCTGCTAGTCTGATGCAAACCTTAGGGAGACCCTCAAACTACTCTTATTTTATCTTGATATTGTGCAGTGAGGACATTTCAATGTTTTTAGTTGGGGGTGGCTTTAGGGAATATACTTTATTTGTACATTGATTCGTAACTTGTGCCCTTGCCGGGCTTATGCTTTTGTATGGATATTGTGTGCCCTTGCCGGGCTTGTTCTACTATTATTTATTATGTGCCTTTGCCGGGCGTAGTTTGTGATTGGTGATATAATTGCGGATTAGTCGCTTTGTTATTCTATATCATTTTTCTTTATTTATTTATTTATTTTCTTAGTAGTTTTTAGTTTATGTTATTTTTATTCCTTTAGTATTAGTTGCTTTTGTTATTTTATTTTCTTTAGTAGTTTTTAGTTATTTTATTTTTTATTCCTTTAATGTTAATTTTATTTTATTTTGTAGTTTTAGTTTATATTATTTTTATCTCTTTAGTAGTAATATACTTTTCAATAAATTTTCTTGGATTTTCTTTATGCTAATGTTCTTTCCCAAGAAATATTTTTGTGTTGAACCGAGTGACTTTTTCTTATGATGGATGGCGTGATAACTTTCTTAAGGGAATTAGTCTTGTTTTGTTATGTGGATACTTTTGAATTGTTTGGTACTAATAAAATTAGTCTCTTATATGTGAAGTGTGAATTAAGAATACCCCTCCGAATTTTGGTTGTAAATCAAAAAAATAAGTTGCATGGAGAAGAATAATTTTTGTGACAATTTTTTGGCTCAT